TTCTATTTCAATGTTGGTCAAATGTCATTTCTCCAAAATCATTGTTGAGGAGGGTTATTTGGCCAAATTTCCCTTTTCAAAATAATATCGTTGTTGAACTATTTAATGTAGGATCTCCCATGCATTAGAAGTTTTCTTGTTGTGATGTTTTTGTCTTCATCTAGTTTGATCTTAAATCTTCGATAATATACAAGAAATTCTAAAAATTCAAGAATTAATACCAGTTTTGGGCTCACATTCTTGTAATAATTAAGTCGAAAAATTAAATCAAAATGATGGAGACGTAATTTAATTATCTTGTCATGGACTTGAAATAACGAATTACAATCATCAACCGTGGCATAGTTTAAAATTATTATAATCATTCAGTCATTATATAGACAATTAATACTATACCATTTGACTTGAACATGAAATCAACTATTCAAAAAGAATAACAAACACGTGAACGATCTAAACCACATAAAAAAATGACTGTGGATTTGGTTTGAGTTGGGTTGGGTTGCAGTGGGTTTTATTTTTATTTTATTTTGCATTTTTTGATTTGATTATTTTAATCGTTTTAAGTTTGAAAATATAAAGTTACTATTTTGCAGAATGTAAAATTGGTTAGAATTTGGTTTAAGTTAAAATTTTTGGTCAACTAACAGCGATGTGGATGGAATCCATCAATTTGCGTTTCAATCGTACACACACAAAAGATTTAAGACTATGAGTGCAATAAATGAAATGTTAAGATAAAATCTATAACGTTTGAAAGGTTTGGGGGCGTAACTGCAATTTTCCCTTTAAATAATGACTTTAATTCATCTATTTTGTGATTATTAAGGTAATTACAATTACAATTATGTTAAGTATATATTCGATCGTCGAAACCTTGATGTGCATTACGTGCAAATTCAAAAGGCAGATGGACGAGAAAATGTGTTATTTTTAAAAGTTGCCCAACATGACAACGTAAAAAATGACATGAAATGAACTAAGGTGTAGCAGCGAGAATTCGTCCACCCCAACACTGCCGCGATTCCACTTTTCACACACAGACAATCATATTCCAGTATCTATACAAAATGATCCGCATTAAAATTGTAGTATGCTTTCGTGATTAATTATTGGTGTGTACATTTTGGGATATATCTCATAATGTATCAATGGAGGAAATTCGACTTCTTCGAGGAGAAGAAAAGCAGGATTCCGGAGGAAATAGAGGGCAAAATTGAGTGCTGCTCTAGCGGCAGCGGAAAGATCGTATTGGGTTGCTATGACGGCTCCGTTTCGTTGCTCGATCGTGGTCTCCATTACCTCTATTCCTTCCCCGCGCACTCCTCATCCGTCCTTCACCTCCAGCAGCTCAAGGTTTACTTGCTCTATCTCTTTTTCGCTTTTTAAAATTTGATTTGATCAGCTGACGAGTTTACGTATTATGGAGTGAAAAGTATGTGGCTTTTGCTTAATTTGGGGATTACTGAGATATGGAGTCCTGAGGCGCATCAATTATGAATTCGGTATATATAGGTTCATTTATCATGAATTATAAGTTACAATCTTTCTGTTATTGCTTATCCGTAATGTCGAACCTCGCTTTGAAGATTGTTAAAAAATATAGAAAAGTTGCTCTATTAGAATTTCGCTGATTGAAAATGTTGTTACTGAACTGGTGAATCAGCAACGCAACTTCTTAGTTACAGTAGGAGAAGATGAGCAAATATCTCCGCAACAATCAGGCATGTGCTTAAAGGTTTTTGACCTTGCTAAAATGCAAGATGAGGGCTCAAGTACATCAAGTCCAGAATGTGTTCAAATTTTGCGGGTATTTACCAACCAATTTCCTGAAGCAAAGGTAAATATTTAACTTTTACATACATTGTTCATCGTCTAACATGTAGTTATATAGACAGTTTCTTGAAATTGACGAAATAATGGCAGTTAGTTTGAATTGACATCAATTCCTCTTCGACAGATAACATCTTTTTTAGTTCTAGAAGAAGCTCCGCCTATAATATTTATTGCCATTGGATTGGACAATGGTTGTATTTATTGTATCCAAGGCGATATTGCTCGCGAGCGTATTAAGCGCTTCAAGCTTCAGGTGGATTATGCTCATTCAAATAAAGACCACTCTCCTATTAATGGTCTTGGATTCCGAGTGGATGGCCAAGCCTTTCAACTGTTTGCAGTCACTCCAAATTCAGTAAGCTTGTTTGACTTGAAGACCCAACCACCTCGTGGGCAAACACTTGATCAGATTGGATCTTCTGCTTCTACTGTAGCAATGACTGATCGCTCGGTATGAATCCCTAGATGCTTTTTCTTTTCTTTTTCTAAAGTATTTTCCTTTACAAGTTGTGTTTTAAGCACAATTAGATAGCTTTCTTATTGTCTTGGTATCAGGAACTTATCATTGGTCGGTCTGAAGCAGTATATTTCTATGAAGTTGATGGTCGAGGTCCTTGTTGGGCATTTGAGGGGGAGAAAAAATTCGTTGGGTGGTTTCGTGGTTATCTTTTATGTGTTATTGCAGATCAAAGAACTGGCAAGAATACTTTCAACATTTATGATCTGAAGAACCGTTTAATTGCCCAGAGTCTAGCCGTTAAAGAAGTTTCTCACATGCTTTGTGAATGGGGTAACATAGTACTTATAATGGAAGACAAATCTGCTCTTTTTATCGTAGAGAAGGATATGGAAAGCAAGTTAGATATGCTTTTTAAGAAGAACCTGTACTCTGTTTCCATTAATCTCGTTCAGAGCCAGCAAGCTGATGCTGCTGCAACTGCTGAAGTCCTAAGGAAATATGGTGATCATTTATATAGCAAACAAAACTATGATGAAGCTATGTCTCAGTACATCCACACCATCGGTTATCTTGAACCTTCGTTTGTCATACAGAAGTTTTTGGATGCACAAAGAATCTACAACCTTACAAATTACTTGGAGAAGTTACATGAAAATGGGCTTGCATCCAAAGACCATACCACCCTACTGTTAAATTGTTATACCAAATTGAAAGATGTTGATAAGCTGAATGTTTTCATTACAAATGAGGAACAAGTGGGGGAACATAAATTTGATGTAGAAACTGCGATAAGGGCATGCCGAGCTGCTAATTACCATGAGCAAGCAATGTATGTTGCCAAGAAGGCCGGGAAGCATGAATGGTACTTGAAGATTTTACTGGAGGACCTAGCTATGTATGATGAAGCATTGCAATATATAAATAGCCTTGAACCTAGTCAAGCTGGGGTAACTGTCAAAGAATATGGAAAACTTCTTATAGAGCACAAGCCAAGGGAAACAATTGAAATACTGATGAGTCTTTGCACCGAAGAAGGTGAACTGGTCAAGAAGGGAGCATCAAATAGTTCCTTTTTAACCATGTTGCCATCTCCTGTTGATTTTCTCAATATTTTTGTGCATCATCCACAGTCGCTTATGGAATTTCTTGAAAGATACACCAACAAAGTGAAGGACTCACCTGCTCAAGTAGAAATCCATAACACACTATTAGAGTTATACTTGTCTTGTGATTTGAACTTCCCATCTCTTTCACAAAATAGCATCAATGAAAATGGTGATCTGAGAACAGATCAACTATCAAGTAAAGCGACGATGTCTAGAGCAGAATCTAATGGGAGAATAGTTTTGGATAGGAATGATGTAAATGAGGAGAAAGATCACCAGGAGAGACAGCGGAAGGGTTTACTCTTGCTTAAAAGTGCATGGCCAACTGAACGAGAGCAGCCACTGTATGATGTTGATCTCGTGATAATTCTGTGTGAAATGAATGCTTTTAAAGAAGGGCTCCTATATCTTTATGAGAAGTTGAAATTATATAAAGAAGTGATTGCCTGCTATATGCAGGCACATGATCATGAGGGTTTAATTGCATGCTGCAAGAGACTAGGGGATTCGGGAAAGGGCGGTGATCCTTCTCTTTGGTCAGATCTATTGAACTATTTTGGTGAACTTGGAGAAGACTGCTCCAAAGAAGTGAAAGAAGTTTTGACATATATTGAAAGGGATGATATTTTGCCTCCTATTATTGTTCTTCAAACCTTGTCCAGAAATCCATGCCTTACGCTTTCTGTCATTAAAGATTATATAGCTCGAAAGCTGGAAAAGGAGTCAAAGCTGATTGATGAAGACCGAAGAGCTATCGAAAAGTATCAGGTTTGGATTCTACACTTTAAACACATTTTTATTATATCAATTGAATTTTCTTATTTCAAGGTTCAAATCTTGTGTCGAGAAGCAAATGGGGGTTGTTTCTTTGATAAATGGCCTTAAAATGTTTTATAGGCAGACATTCGTCAGTATTAATAACTAATACTTTCTGAGGTTAAATTATCGGAGAACTTGCAGTGAGGTAGGGTTGGTTCAAGATTTAAAAACCCAGAGAGAGAAAAGAGGCTAGAGCTTGTTTCTAATGTGCATTGACTTATTTGACCTGATTCCCTGTTTATGCATATGCCAACAGTATTTTTTAGAATAGTTGACTATACTATATATTTGAAACTATATATTTGAAATTCTCTAAATTTTTCATTTGGACATATCTTGGGTATTTAGGACAGGATCTGTGGGAGAGTGTTGTCATCCTTATTTATTTAAAAATAAAAAATTTCTGCCACTTTAGTACAATTAAGGCTACTACCATATTGCTGTATATCTTGAAAGTATAATGCTTCATTTTTATTATGGTTATAAGCTACAATAATCATGCATGGTGATATTGAATTGCTCGGCGGACTATTTTGTTGACATTCACTGAATTGATAGATGTCTAAGACGGATGATGCTTGAGTGAATCTGCAATCATGCACTTGCTAAGAAACAAATCGTTTAGATCTTGTATAAAGATATACAGACTATCAATTAGACTACCTGAAGTTGTGTGCTTGAAAATTAATAGACATTCATCACTACCTGAAGTTTTCGTCGTTCTACCCTGTTGTTTGGTCTTGTAGCTCATGATCTATTTGGCAAAGCAAATATATTAGTCTTTTCATTTTCTTGGCAATTGTAAACAGCAATGATCAAATAACATAAAAGTACTCATTCAGCAGATGCTGTAATATCTCATTTCTCTGTGTGTGTGTTCATCTTTTTTTATTATTATTTTTTTCTGACTGGGCCTGGAATTATGTATTTGATTACCACCAACCAATGAGAAGAAAACTTGCATTATTCTTTTCATTTTGCAGGAGGAAACTTCAACAATGAGAAAAGAAATCCAGGATCTTAGAACAACTGCAAGAATCTTCCAGCTTAGCAAGTGTACAGCTTGCACTTTCACCCTTGACCTTCCTGCTGTCCACTTTATGTGTATGCATTCATTCCATCAGCGATGCCTTGGTGATAATGATAAAGAATGCCCCGAGTGCGCTCCTGAGTACAGGGCTGTTCTAGAAATGAAGAAGAACTTGGAGCAGAATTCTAAAAACCAAGATCAATTCTTCCAGCGAGTAAGAACTTCAAAGAATGGATTTTCTGTGATTGCTGAGTATTTTGGCAAAGGGATCATCAGCAAAACAAGCAATGGACTTGCGGAAGCTCTAAATTCAAGTAGCGAATTCTGATAAATTTTCACCATGGGTAACAAAAGGTGACAATGAGCTGTGATCTCCTTTAATCAGTAACCCCGCATACGGTAGAAATAATTTGTTGAGAGGGCGACAAATCTAAAAGAACATCCAGGAAATACCCATGTTGTATCTTATAATTGGAGTTAGCTGGTCTTTTCCAACAAATATGTTACTTGGGTCTCCTTGAAAGCAAACTTAAGCACATGGGTCAGTACAATTCAAGTTTTCTATAAGAAAAAAGCTGTGCTTCATTTGGTTCAACTCATTTGTGGTTTTATTATGTGCCAGTTAATGTTGCAATTTGTCATGAGCTTCCAAATCGTCGTTTTCGGGTGTCTTATCATGTATTAAAGTAAATTCTGGTTATGGTAGACAAATGCTAACTTGTGTATCGTGGATCTATCCAAGTTACGTTTATGCATTATGATTTATTCTTACGAAAGAAATAAAAAAAATGTTGTTTATTGAACTGTCCATTTCAATATTGCGTATGTTCATACATACTCTAACAGCCAGGCACAACCTTTGTATATGCAGCATACGTAATTATTCAATCTAATTTAGTTTTCAATTAGTCTCTCTCTAGGAATCCCGGCAACCAACACTGTCAGTCAATGAAGGGATGCATGACTGGTGTCTTATCGTTAGGCCCTATACTTTTGGGTCAACATGAACTCCCGAGAGTCAGATGGTTAGTAGATTTTGATAAAAGTCGATGAAATGTGTGGTAAAGAAGTTGATAAAAGTTGTGAATTTTATTAATATGTTATTAAAATTAATGTAATTTTAACCGAACGTCATCAATTTTTATCAAAATTGACTAAAATTTGATTTTTTGTCAAAAGCGAACATGAACACAATGTGACGTAACATTCATCAAGTGGATTAACCTCCATTATTTCATATACTAATAGAAAATATCATCTATATCCGGATTGAGCATATTCAAAACAGACACAAGTGGTTGCCCTGGGGACAATTTAGTAAGTACAAAAAGCATTTAATGAAATGGGTCAAAAGCATGAACTTATGCACATCTAGTAATTGAATCATGATGTTTAGTCTCCTTAAAAATCACATTAGATTATAGTTAATTTTATTAATCACCTCGATCACTGTCAATTCAAATTTTAAGCAAAATCTGCAAAATCAACAGAACCATCAATTTTCACTTCAACAACCTCAACATCGTCCTCCACAGCCTGAACCACAGCAAGTGTTACGTAATAGTTAATACGTCTCGGGACTAAGGTTCCGATAACCGATTTGCCGAAGCCGTTACAAATTTTAGTGACAAGAAAAAAAGTTAATGACCAACTTGAAATTTTGCACAAAATGTATCGACTATGGGTGGAAACATGTCACGTAAAAGTGGGCCCACGTGACAAATAATTCAGCACAAAGTAAAATGGTCCCATTTCCATTTGATTTGACAACAGAAAATTCAAAAGCGAATTGTCACTTTGGTTCAGTTTAGTAGGCCAAAGGACACCTCTCTCGAACCCCACCCCCACCCGATCCACCTTTTACTGTGAAGCACAAATCAAATGTTGAAAATTAGAATTCTCCAGTGGTCGCATGGTGATTAAGAAAGTTGTTTATGTGGAGTTTTAGAAAATGATTATGATCTGAAAGGCAAGTTGATTGTATAATTTAACTTCATTTCTTGAGAAAAGGGGTTTTCCCCGAGATGAGCAAAGATAAAGAGAAGCCACCAGAGCCTCTTGATTTCTTCATTTGGACTGTTGAGGTAATTAATTAATTAAATTTCTTCAATTTTCCTCAAATAAACGGTATAATTTGGTTAATTGACTTTTACTTCATGAATTGGTGCTATTTGGTCTGTATAGAAAAATTGAAGGTAAAAAGAAATAATTAAATTGTGGAAATACATGAGGTACTCTACTTTTTCACAGAGAAGTTAAATTGCTTAGACTTTTACTTCTATTGGATGTGGAAATTGTAGTATATTTATGGAATATGACTACCAAACTGTGCATCTGTTCTCATTAATTTTTACAGCTGTTTGTAGCCTTAGTGTAGATTATGCGCCAGTTTTTGAAATTCAGGTGTTATCCAGGGAGTGGATGTAACTCCCATTATTGTTTGGAGTAATATGTTGCAATGAACAGCTATTTTATGAAATTTTTATTTCTTTCACGGAATTTCCCTTTTTTGGTTGAAGGAATGCCTATTCAACCGGGCAATTTGTGTAGAATCTCCAGTCCACCTATGTTTGGCTCATTTTTATAAACGGTTTATAAACACTCCAATATATGCTTGGCGAAAGTTTGATTTACTCCTTGTTCGCTGAATTTGCAGGTGCCTGAATTGCAACAAGTAATATAATGATAAGTGAAATATAAATCCAACAGGGACCATGCTATTAAGTAACGAAATTAAGAATTCTAGCTTTATTTCTCTAATCTACGTCATGCCTGGGATAATCTTGATGTTTAAATTTCATCTGATGAATAAAAATGGTAGGACTCGCGATTTCACCTTATCTCCTTTAATCTTGCTTTTCAAGTTCAATTTCAAAGTTTGTATTCAGTTGAATTCACTAATTTAATTATATTGCTTTTCTCGAGTTTAATTCAATCCTATTTAGTTAAGTCAACTCATTATATATCTATATAAATCTGAATAAGCATTAACTAAATGCATTAAATCACCTAAGAATTCAATTTAGGATCGCAATAATAGTAAAATTGTATGTTTACCTTCTACCAAATTACTGATTTTTACTACATGGTACTCACTTCTCGGCTCGTTACCATTCATAGCTTGATGAATTATTGATCAAGTAATTCATGCATAAGAAAATAAGTAAAGTCAATGCATAGATCAATTAATGATGTAAAACTTGCATCAGGCAGTAATATGTGATTGACGTGGTTTTTGGAACATACCAAAATTGGTGTTTTATCTATATCATTGATCTAGTAGATGTGTTCTTTTCAGGTGGAATCCAATATTTTGGCATCTATAATGCATATGAATCTAGTAGGTTTAACCTTAGGAAATGCCTTTTCTTTTGATAGTCATGGCAATTTTTCGTGGTGTTAATGGCAATGGTCAAATGCCTTTAGTGAATTAGTCATGACTGTTGAGATGGATGTTGTTTGCTGAGTCACTCTGGTTATAGAAGCAATTTGTCACTGTTCATCTACTGTCATAATAAATTTTTTAGTGTGCTGTCATCGTTTTATGAGATTATCCATTGCAGTGGTTGCTGTTGTGGGCCCACCAGTACCAAATTAACTCTTTCCATTCTGTGTTTTTCCCTTAATGTAATAGTGTACTTTGGACATGGCCACAGGGATTTGAGGGTAGAGGGCTGGGAGCAGAAAGAATGAAAGACCTGCCCCTTAGACACCCACCGACTAATAGGAGAATCCCCAAGAATAGGGAATACTAATTGTAGAATCATTTGAATTCACGAGTGTTGAGTGGTGATAAATGAGTGAAAGCATCTCTACTCAATCTAGGCTCTATCCACTCTATAAAGCAGGTTTCGGATGTTTATGCAGTGTATTTGAAGCTCAAGGAAAAGGAAAAGTTAAAGAAGGGGTAAACTTCGGATTTGAATAATCTCCAAGTGTAGTCAATAATTATTTAGGTGTTATCATTAGTCTTTTTCTTTTGATATACACTAAGGAATTCTGTTGGTGTTTTTTAAGGAGTAAAGGCATAATTCTTTGAGTTTCTTAAGGGCGTCTAGGTTTTAGTTGGACAGTGGGAAATTTGTTGGAGCTGTGCAGTATACAATTATTTGAAGTTTATATATGCTTGAGTTCTTGCCCGGTATAATAAAGTATTCAATTTCAAGCAACTTTCTCGATCTTTTGAAGCCTAAATGTGCGTTTGATTACGAGCATGGAATTTGCATGGAAAGAAAATGAATTGTCTAGAACTTATTTGTATGAGAATTATTAATTAAATATGTTTGATTGATTTAGTTTTTAACCTAGAAAATATTATACTTGTCCATTTTTTATTGGTGGGTAGATGAGAGAGATGGAATAGAAGAGGAAGACTCACAGGGAAAGAGATATTGAATTAACTGGAAAATAAAAATCACTCTTTCCTAAAAAAATGCTTTCCTTGTTTTTGAGGAAAATATGGTCACATGATCAAAAGTTGAAAAATATTTTCCATGAAAAAATTGTCAATTAAACACCCCAAAGTAAGAATTTGGGTGAAAAAAATGATATTTTCCATGGAAAAAAAAGTCAATCAAACACACACTAATTGATTTTGCTGAAGGCAGACTGATCTCTTTGATGCCTAGCTTTTCTTCTTCTACTTTTCTTTTCTTTATTTACCATCCAGAAAGTAAATCCCCTGCCCATCCCTTCAAAATAAATATTATTTGGTGCCTATCAAACCTAATCCTTCTTACGATCAGAGACAAACATAAGAAATTTCATCGACCTCAAAAGTGTATAACAGTCCCATTTGCATCTTAATTAGTGGATGATTGACTAGAATACTCACACAAAATCTTTCGATAACACGGATTTCTATTTGTTTTTATCATGCTCCGAACCGTAACCGATTTCTTGCCCATCTCAAATCCCTTTGAAACTAATAACTGAAA